AGATCTAGAGTTGTACAATATCTTCTTTGGAATCTTCAAAGAAATAAAGAAAAAAATGGCAACAACGAAAATACCAATGAATGTACCTTCTCCTCGAGTCGATGCTGACCAACTCTTTAAAGCCTTCAAAGGTATTATTGGCTTTCTTTATTTGTGGTTACAAACAATTTGTTTGTTACATTTTAATCAAATCTTGTGTAATTTTTGTAGGAAGAGGTTGCGATACTTCGGTAATCATCAACATTTTAGCTCACCGAAACGCCGCACAACGAGCTCTAATCGAACAAGAATACGAAACCAAATTCTCAGACGACCTTCGAAAACGTCTCCAATCCGAGCTTCACGGTCATCTCAAGGTAACTACTAACCTTACAAGAATCATTATTCAAAATATGGTTTACGCAAAAAATTTGAAAACGTTTATAAAATTGCAGAAAGCGGTTCTTCTATGGATGCCTGAAGCAGTGGAGCGAGACGCATCAATACTGAAACACGCATTGAGAGGAGCCGTGACTGATCATAAAGCGGTCGCTGAGATTATATGTACAAGAACTGGCTCTCAGCTTCGTCAGATCAAACAAGTTTACTTCAACACTTTTGGTACTAAACTAGAAGAAGACATCGAATCTGAAGCTTCCGGGAATCACAAAAGAGTAATGTCTTTATCTGATCTATTATTTTGGCTGGGATAATAATAGACATTGACATGTATATGTAACAGGTTTTGCTCGCGTATTTGAACACTACGCGGTATGAAGGACCGGAGATCGACAATGGGATTGTAGAGAATGATGCTAGGACTCTTAAGAGCGCGGTTGCAAGGAAGCATAAATCTGATGACAAGACTTTGATACAGATATTCACAGACCGAAGCAGGACTCATTTGGTCGCTGTTAGATCTACTTACCGTTCCATGTACGGCAAAGAACTTGGGAAGGTATAATCAAGAAGCAGAGATTACTTACTCAAGAAACCTTTGATGTAGTTCATACTTCATACCAATTTCTTCAATCTTGATAGGCCATAAGGGATGAGACCCGTGGGAACTTCGAGCACGTCCTTCTGACAATTCTACAATGTGCTGAAAATTCATCTTTCTATTTTGCAAAGGTAAACATAACTGCTACATGCTTCTTTAACCACAAGACAGGTTTTTTAGGGTTTCGAGTTTAAAACATGAAAACTGAAAGCGCAGGCGCTGAGAAAATCGATGAAAGGGTTAGGAACAGATGACACGGCGTTGATAAGAATGGTGGTGACAAGAGCGGAGGTGGATATGCAGTACATCATCTTAGAGTACCGCAAGAGATACAAGAAGGCTTTGCACAATGCTGTTCATTCTGATACAACTGGCAGTTACAGGACTTTCCTCCTCTCTCTTTTAGGCCCCAACGTTTGATCTCTCTCTATGTCTATCCCAACATTCACATTGATTCTTGGGGTATACAACTATGTATCAGTATCATACAATATTGTTTGCAAGAATCTTGAAGGGATACTATTATATGCTTATATGTAAGTTTTCAATCAAAAATGGAGGAATGAAACAGAAGAGCAGAGGCAAATAGAACTCCAAAAAAAAGAGACCATATCCATAAGCAAATATAAATTGAGAAGCTATGTTTTGGAGACAAAGTAATAACTTCAACCTTATTAACTACTTAATTTATTAGTATCTCATAGTTAAGTTCTAATCAGATTCAACTTTGTGTATAGTTTGATAAGTTTTCCATTGAGGCAAAGACGATAATAGCTCCTTCAGTAACTTACAGGTATATTCTTCCCAAGAGGTAATTGCGATTGATATATCCTTCAAGCCGAGTGAATCCTTCTGGTCCTCTTTATAGCATGGATATCCAAAAGTTGTAGTTACGAGGCCCTCGTCTGGCAGGAAGACTGATTTCAAGGCATTGATAGTTTCCAACTGCGGTTGGGATATAGCTTTCACCTCTTTTACAGTGCCATCTTCCACATTTGAAGTCTTGAGTTCGGAAGCTTTCCAATGGTAGAACTGAACAACCTGGTTATCCAGAAGAAAATGGAAAGAAATTAGCAACCATTTGATTATATATGACGAAAGAAAGCCTCTTAACATAACTATCAACGAGCACATAGTTACGACCAAAAACCTAATCTGCGACTGATAATAAGGTCCGGTGTCAAGTAACTCAAGGTCCCGAAGAGACTCTGTAAAAGTCGCCTTAACAGATAATAAGAGAAAGTACCTGAAGTGCATGAAGAATGTTGGTAAATTTCCGGATGAGCAACTCTTCTCCTTTAGCTATTTGTAACGGTCCCATAAGCTGTTCTGAGGCATCTGGAGAATGATCTTTGTCTTGTAAGCTGTGTATGTTGAAACCAAGAAGATGCAACCTTGCAACGCAAATATCAAAACCTGTGTTTTGATTAGAGCAGAACCAGTACATGTTAGAGGAGGCAGGCAAAGGGAGGCAAAACTCATGTGATTTGCTACTGGGCTGATGAGATAGGCATTGTGAAAGACGGGAAACAAGCTTGGAATCCTCGTCATGTGATGAATCCCGGCTAAACCATAGCGCAAGAGTCAATCTTTCTCCATCTGTTACCTGTAAGCTTCCATTAGTTACTACATACACATGGAACAAACTAACTGGGAGGCTATATCAACGAGGCAAACCTCATCAACAGAATGAATATTCCGGTCATCAGCTGTGTACATGATAACATCCTGGTCGAGACACAAACTCATTATTCAACTAAGAATCTTGAATGGTAAACCGTTGAGCATACCGAAAGCGAAAAACTTACTCCAGCAGAAGGAGCAACAGTTGCTGGTTCCCCACTCTGAAAACGAAAAAGCCCGCCTTTGAATTCTTTCTCATAGCTATTCAAGTAACAAACTGCCTTCAAACCAACTAAAACCAAAGTCATATACATAAACCTCATATCGAAAAATAGCGTTAGTAGACTGCAAAATTACCGCGAAATCCCTTTGTTTCAGATATTGTCTGTTATCATCACTGTGCCAACCAATGCTCGCTCCTCTGCACCAACTGATTCCCAAACGAAAGAACAATAAAAAATCATTCCTCACCTCTTTCTCTGGGCTTTAATCTGTTAGAGAAATGGAAGACAAAACCACTAACCTAATTAAACCTGTGAATTCAATAAACAGCTCATACTCACATCCAAATGTTTCCTCCATTTTCTCTTTCAATCTATCTGGTTACTCAAAACACAACCAAATCATCACAATGGACTGTGAAAAGTGTGAAATCTAAAGAGAAAGTGGAGGATTTTGACCTCGAATGGAGATGAAAGGGATGATTAAGTGAGGAGAATCGGTGGCGATGAGGTGAGAGAGAGTAGTGGAGAAGACATTTGGTCTGTACCCAACAGTACTGCAACTCTTGTGTATGAATTCAAGCTCCTGTTTTTACACCAAAATCAACCAAATAAGACACTAAAGGGAATAGAGATTGAGAAGATGAAGCTAAAAAAGGTGACAACTTTGCACTCTTCCGGTGAGAGGAAATTGTGCAGAATCAGCCTCGGGTGCTCTCTCTTTCCCTCCGACATTTGTCTCCGTTTCCAATTTGAATCAAAATCGGGATTCGAGTAATTGATTTAAGGGTTACAAGCTTCGGGTCTCTGCTACGTGAAAGTTTTGGCCTTTCGGGTCTCTGATCGTAGCTGGTGGGGAGTTATGGGTAAAGAGTTTGTGAGTGGATCGGAATGGGTATCCATTCGCCATACGAGGCTTTTATCGAGGTGTTGTAACCTAGTGGATTCTTCTCCGCTGTCTTTGGAAGTTTTCGTGATATTTGACTTGCCAAAGTATGAAGCTTCGGTCTTTTAATAGTGAGGTATACCCATTCCCCATAGGAGATTTCTTGTTCCAGCGAATAGTGTGATTTGTGTTCGTTTGAGTTGGTTAAGTATCCTTTTTAAGTTATTTATTGGTGTAAGTCATTGGTCCTTGTAGTCTTTGTTTGGATTCTCATTGTTTAATTTAATTAGATGACAAAAAAAAAATGAGAGTCCGCGTTATGCGTGGATTTCTGTTTAGTAAAATTTGTTAAATTAAAATTCAATTATAGTCAAATCAGGGTGGAATTGGTTTCAAATCAAACAAGTGATCAACAAGACTTAGGAAATCTAGAGCGAAGAGATCAGAGATATGAAGAAGCAAAAACTTTCACGGTTTATCTAGCAAGAAAGAGGCATTATCAAGACATTCACAAAATGATCTATGTACTGAAAACCTATGCAATGCATTGTTATATAATGTAAATAGAAATGCAGTCCTAGTATGCTTCTAGACTCAATCTTATATGAAAAGAAAAAAAAAGATGCAGATGGGATGCGACTATATGCATGTTCTTTTTGTTTTTGCAAATTTTTAATGCCAAAATGAATGCAATGCAAGGAAATGCAAAGATGCAGGACACTATAAATATGCAAAGAAGAAAGGGGCAAAATAAACGACTATGCATTAGTGACAATTAGTGTGTGTGTGTATCCTATA